GACTTGTCATGGTTAGGACACTCTTTGGCCCGATGCCCCGCCTGTCTACAGATTAGGCATTTGCCTCATGCCTTGTCATTCAAGGGCTCGAGGGCTTCCCTGGAGGGCGGCCAGCATCTGGGCATGCCTTGTCTCTTTCCTTCTTTCCCTCTCCTGGGCCTTGGCCTCCTTCTCCTGTTCTCTGTTTTAAAAGGTATTGGTGGCTGTCTGGATCATCTCATCTAGAGAGGCAGCAGAGTCCTGCTGCTGTAGCTGTTGTAACTTAATTCTGATATCTGATGCACATTGGGGCAGGAATTTGTCCTTTAAAATCACCTGTCCCTCGTAAGAGTCTCAGTCCAAATTGGTAAACTTTTGGAGGGCCTCTTTTAGCCTTTCCAGAAAGGCAATGGGGTTCTCATTAGACTCCTGAGTTATTGCTGAGACCCGGGCATAGCTGATTACTTTTTGCTGGGCTGCTTTCAGTCCTGCCTTCACACAGATTAGAAAATGATCCCTTTCCCAGATGTGCTCAGGGTCATTATAATTCCAGTTAGGATCGGAGGAGGCGACAGCAGTCTCCCCTACTGGGTATCTATCATTTGACATGTGAAGCCCTGTTGCATACCTCCGGGCTTCTTTAAGACTCTAGTATGTTCAGGGTCAGATAAAGTTTGACTAAATATGACCATGATGTCCTTCCACATCAAGTCAAAGGCCAAAGTAATATGTTGGAACGTATCTATATATTTGCCTGGGTCATCTGTATAGCTTCCTAGGTCTTGTTTGATCTGTCTTAGTTCTAAGAGGGAGAAGGGTTTATGGACTTGGGTTGGTCCGAATTTTCCTCCAGTTTCAACTAAGGGACATACTCGAGCTGGCTTTTGTGGAGGGGGTGCTCCCGGATATGGGGGCACACTTGGATACAAGGAAGAAGCACCAGGCAACTCGGGAGCTGTGGGAGGTGAGCCTTCACGGGGTGGGGTTCCTTCTCTTGGTTGCCTGTGCCTAACACCATTTTCCTAGTGGGCTCACGTTTAGGGCGTACAACAATCCCATACTTAAGACAGAGTTCCTTCATATCTCTCAGTCTGAAGAAAATTTGGACATAGGGGATCTCTGTCCATTTCCCTTGTCTTTTGCAGAATAATTCTAATTGTAGGATGGTATTGTAATTTAAAGTCCCATCCTCAGGCCAGTGTCCCTCGTCCCCCAGTGGATACTGTGGCCATGCAGTGGCACAAGAGAATTTTAAATGACTCCTCCTCAGAGTTAGAGGATCGAACAGCTTCCAGTTATCAAGGATGCATCTCAAGGGCGTCTGCCGGGAAGTAGATTGGTTATTTCCCATTTGAAAAACAGTCATGACAGGGAGGAAAAGGAAAAGAAAAAAATTAATAGGCTTTTTGAAGATTATCCTACCCAGTACTGTCGCAACGTGAGAGCCAGGCGTCCCCGGGTCAGGGTGCAGATCCCCAGGCAGGCTGAGGCGTGACAGCCTCCTAGAGATCGAATCTCCGGGCAGGTCGAGGCGTGACGACTCCTGGGGCCCTTGGGACTAGCGGATCCCTGAGCAGGTTGAGGCGTGACAACCTTTTGAGGACCAGATCCCTAGGCAGGTCAAGGCGTGATGACCTCCTGGTACCCCCGGGCTGGAGTTTGGGCGTCCCCAAGGTCTCCAGCATGACCAGTGCTGGGTAGAAATAAGGGGTTGTAACTCATTGCTAGTTTGTCCACTGTGGATGGGAATAGATACCATGATGTAAGCTCATCCTACGTAGTACTGTCGCAACCTGAGAGCCAGGCGTCCCCGGGTCAGGGTGCAGATCCCCAGGCAGGCTGAGGCGTGACAGCCTCCTAGAGATCGAATCCCTGGGCAGGTCGAGGGGTGACAGCCTCCAGAGAATTGGGTCACTGGGCAGGTCGAGGCGTGACGACCTCCTGGGACCCCCGGGCTGGAGTGTGGGCATCCTCAAGGTCTCCAGCGTGACCAGTGATAGGTAGGATTAAGGGGTTGGATACTATACAGTACTTCCCTCCCAAGGCCAGCTATTTTCTGGTTATCCCTCTAGAAGGTTGTAGAGGCAACAGTGTGGGCCTGGATGGGGCTGAGGAAAGGAGCATGAAACAGGAGGGAAAGGGGAGCAGAGCACAACCTTTGAAAGAATGACATAGCACAAGGGCATAACGTATACCGACTAAAATCGATTGGGTCCAACATGACAAGTCAAATTCAAGTTAATCTTAACCCCCAATCTATAAGCCAGAAGACAGACCTAGAAGTGGCAGAATAGCTCCAAGGCACTGTCAAAAGACAGAGGAGTGGGTGGTTCCTCAATGGCTGGGATGATCCTCCCGCTCAGTAGCATATGAATTCACCCTGCTCGCAAAACCTAGCCAGGACACATTCCATGGCCCTTACCCTGTAGAATGGGTGCTTTTTTCTGAATCCTAGCAAATTCACCTCCCACTTGTCACTTTGTCTCTCACTGAATTTTTGCAATAAGACCTCAGAGACTGAGCTGGACATCCTGGGTTTTGGTCGGGCTCGAGTCCCGGGAGAAAGAGCTGAAGGACAGGAGGAAAAAGCAGTGGGAAAAACGTGCCAAGGAATCCCCTTCATAGCCTGCTGCAAAATTTGCTAGATATCTGACCAGTGCTCACAGTTTCCACTGGCCTGATTCTTAGCATAGAGAAGAGAAGGAATAGAAGAACCCCCACTGGCTTGGGTAACAGCTACTGGGGCCCAGCAGGTAGTGCCTTTGGGACATACCGAAGAGTAGCCTCTCCAGAGTCCCTCAATTGTACCCACTGCCGCCCGCCTGTTCGCGGGGGCTTTGAGGAAACCAGAAATGAGAGATTGTAAAGGAGTTAAGATTTTGTTAGACATGTGTCTCTCCAGCCATAGGAGCGAGGACCTCCTTCCTTAACCAGAGGTCTTCTGGAATCTGAGGCTGAGCTGCGTGGCCTTTCTGCTGAGTTTGTTGTCCGCTGCTCCGGTTTCCAGCACGACAGGCCTTCCCTTGCGCCGGGTTTTGTTCGCGTTCTGCGTCTACTGCAGGAGCTTCGCCGAGTTGGGCTCCTGCTGCGCTTGGCCTCTTCCACATGGAGGTTGTTTCAGCCAGGTTAAATCCGAGTAACGGCACCACAGATATCAGGTGAGTGTATGCTCCTCGGTTCTTTGTCTCGTCACAACAAGAATTTGGAGTGATGGACATTAAAGGCCCCGTTGGCGGGTCACAGCTCTCGGGTCTTGGATAGACCGCGTTATAGCTCTCAGGTCTCGAATGGACCATGTTATAGCTCTTAAATAAATTAGTTTTACAGCTCAGTGTTACAGCTCTATTTTATTTAGCTAATAGCAGGAAAATCCATCTTCGAGGCGTGAAGGCACGTTGATCTAAAGACGCGAAGAGAAGAGCGCCCCATCGCGCGGGAGAGAGAGAGAAGAGGGCTTTGGCTCTTCTTTTTATATGTTTCTCTCTCCCTTGGCCTGTCTTATGTAAATTGGGCCAGCCAGGAGTGTTGTTTGTTTTACCTGAGGTTCTCACTCCGTCCTCAGACCTTCCTTTGTTCTTTTTTCGGGGGCTTTCCCCTTCCAGGTCATTTAGCCACCGCCATTCTAGACTCCTTTTCCCTATTCTAACTACCTAACAGAGGGAAGGTCAATTTTTTCCCAAGTCTTATGGGCTTTGATTGTTTTCATTTTTAAATAATCTGCATTCTAAAGAGATATTTTGGGGTGGCAGATTTTTGTCCCCTACAGGACTTTGGCTTAGGAAACTGCTCTCAGCCAGCTCCGACGACCTGTTCCAAAGAAGTAAGGGAAAAGCTAGGGTTTATATCAATCTTTTATTTTTTTTTTTTGCTTTGAGAAGGGGGATGAACATGTAGTCAAACATAAAAAGATTACTGCTAATCCCAAACAACAGACATCTCAAGTGAATGATTTTGGTGTTTTTCTATATATGTTGCTGTTTAGTCACCAAGACCTGTCCGACTTTTTTGCGACCCCATAGACTGTAGCCCACCAGGCTCCTCTGTCCATGGGATTTTCTAGGCAAGAATACTGGAGTGGGTTGCCATTTTCTTCTCCCTGGACTCTTCCTAACCCAAGGACTGAACACTTGTCTCCTGCATTGCCGGCGGATTTTTTACCGACTGAGCCACGAGGGAAATTATGTGTGCAAGAATCTGTACCTTTAGATATACATCTTATCTAGGGACCAGTACAATGCAAATGCTTCCTGTTTTTCTTCAACCTGAAGTCTCCTCAGGGTGCACTGAGGGGGTCCCCTCAGGTGGGTGACCATAGTGGCTGATGCTTGATGTTTGTAGAACTGTTGCAGGATGGGGGACCCCTTCCAGGGCCCGAAACTGGGCTCTTGTCTAACACTCGGAAATGAATTGTCCAAGGAGACACATGTGCTGACAAAGCAAGAGATTTTATTGGGAAGGACACCTAGGTGGAGAGCAGGAGGGTACGGGAACCCAGGAGAACTGCTCTGCCAGTGGTTCACAGTCTTGGGTTTTATGGTGATGGGATTAGTTTCCGGGTGGTCTTTGGCCAATCATTCTAATTCAGAGTCTTTCCTGGTGGCGCACGCATCGCTCAACCAAGATGGATGCTAGCAAGAGGGATTCTGGGAAGTGGACGGACAGGCAGTGTCTCCTCTCGACCTTTCCTGGATTCTTCCGGCTGGTGGTGGCTTATTATTTCCATATTCCTTATCAGGATCTCCTGTCATAAAACAACTCATGCAAATGGTTATTATGGTGCCTGGCCAGGGTGGGCAGTTTCAATCAGTGTGCTTCCCCTAACAGAACTGGAATGATTGGCTACATTCTTTTCTTTCCAGTACCCAGTCTGGGAGGAGCTATGTGGGCTGGAGTCAGCCGGAGGAGGCTGACCTCCCTGTCAGCTTCTCACTTAGCCTTGAGCTGGTGATTATAAGCTGGGCCCCAGGGCCAGAGTCACCTGCTGCAGTAGGAGCAGGGACAGCGGCAGCTGTGGGCGCAGCATGCTGGCCAGGGGGCTTCCCCTCCGCTCAGTCCTGGTCAAAGGCTGCCCACCCATCCTGAGCACAGGGAGGGAGGGCTGGGGGCAGCACAGGGTGGGCACTGGAGAGGGAGCTGGCATCTCCACTAAGACCCCTCGCCCCTACAGTGAGATCCCCTCCCCGGGTGACAATGGCTGGCTTAACCTGTACCATTTCTGGAGGGAGAAGGGCTCACAGAGAATCCACTTTCGCCACATCGAGAACTTCCAGAAGTATGGCCCCATTTACAGGTAAGCCTGGCAGAGGATGGGGACTGGCAGGATAGAGAAGCCTGTGGTGGCCCCCTCCCCGAAAGGTCTGCCCTCCCCTTCCAGGCTCTGGTTCCCCTCTGACTTTATTTCTTCCTGCCTGGGGGTGGCAGGAGTAGAATTAATGCTTCCCAGACAGTGGGTTCACTTCCCAGCCCTGAGGCATCAACAGTCCCCGGGCTCTACACCCTTTGAGACTTTGGGGCGGTGGGGAGGCCAAGAGAATAATCCTCGGTACCTCCATTATCTGCAGGACACTTTGCAACGTGTGGTTGTCATCCCCATTATCAGAGGAGAAGGAAGTTCAGAGAGGTTAGGACTCTAGCCCCGATCACTCAGCTAGAAGCCCACCCTGCTGGGGTGCTGGCCTTGGCACCCCTTTGCCTGTGGGGCTCTGAGTGGCTGATTGGTCCCTTCCGCTAGGCCTGGCTGCCACCCCTCTTCCCCAGACATCTGCCTTGCATCCAGCCAGGAGGGAGGGCCTTTGGTCTTTTGGCCTCAGTGTACCCCACCTTCTTGCCCTGGGGTGGGGGTGAGGCCTGGGGGCTGCCCTTGGGAGGGAGGCCTCACTTGTTCTAGTTTAGCAGTTTCTAAGGTAGGTGGGCTTCAAGAGACATTTGGGTTCCTTTCTGAGAGCATAAGTGAGGGGGATTAGAGGTGGCAAAGGTGATGGCTGAGGACAGGGAGGGGATACCAGAAAGGATAATGCTTTACTTTTACTTTATTTCTTTTGGTGGGGGTGATGCACCACGTGGCCTGTGAGATCTTAGTTCTCTGCCCAGGGATCGAAACTGTGTCCCCTGCAGTGGGAGCACTGAGCTGTAACCACTGGACTGACAGGGAATTCCCCCTTTTAAAGTTATAAGTGCTTTTTTAGAACTGGTTGGAGACAGGGCAGCCCCTTAGCCCCAGGCTGAATGTTAGGTTTGGAAGAAGTTTGCTCCTGAGTCTCTCTTCTTTGTCTTTCTGTCTCTTTCTCTCCCTTCTAAGCCTCTCTCCCCAATTTCACTTCATGGATCTTTCATTATTCCCTGCATCCTCCCCTCCTCCTCCTTTCTGTTCCTAGCCCCTTGTAGGAACCCTTTATTTTATAAAGCCCCTATTTTCTGAGTCACTTTTATCTGAATCTTGCAACCTGTCCTTAAATTTGACATTATTTCCAATTCACAGATGGGAAAATTGAGACCCAGAGAGAAGGGTCTTGCCAAGGTCACACAGTTCATCAGGGCAAAGCCAGGGCTGGAACCCTGATTGTTTAGCTTCCAGTTCAGGGTGTCAGGCTTCCCAGGGGGCACTAGTGGTGAAGAATCCACCAGCCAATGCCTTCAAGAGATGAGGGTTTGATCCCTGGGTTAGGAAAATCCCCTGGAGGAGGACATGGCAACCCACTCCAGTATTCTTGCCTGGAAATCCCATGGACAGAGGAGCCTGGCGGGCTAGAGTCCATGGGGTCGAAAAGAGTCAGACAGGAGTGAGCATGCACATTATTATATTATTCAGGGTGTCAGTATTCTAACTATAGCCTTGAAATAACAAACTTCTAAATGAACATGAGGAATTTACAAGTTTCATGGACTTTTCCTTAATACAAGGTTATTCCTGTTCTTTATTCAATAGTTTAGAAAAATTGATATCAAATACAATCTCAGTTTTGATGATATTTATGTATCATTCAGAATGTGAATGTATTTATATGCTATTTTGCATTGTCCTATAACCATGTACCAAGGACTTCTTTTCTCTTTTCTCTCTTTAATATAATTTAAAAAGGCAGCATAGTAGCCCATAGTATGGATAAGGCATATTTTTTTAAGCTAGCTGTTTAAAGTGGATATTTAGACCACTCTAGGTTTTTTTTTTTTAACTATTAGACATCCTTATCCATTTTTTTTCCTGTGAACATTTTCATCCGTCAGGCATCACTGATGTCAGATAGCTGCCTTGGGCTAGATTCCCAGAGGTAGAATTGATAATAACAATAGCAGTTCAAGGACTTTGCTTAGCTGTTTTTAATGGAGTCAGTGGTTTGAGGATGTGTGGCAGCTGGAAAAACACTGAGGGGATTTTCTGGGAGGCCATGGTCGGCCAAGGAGACTTGGGAAGATAGGCCTGGGCTCTGTAGGTTAGTGGCTAAAGCCATGCTCTCTCCCTCTCCCCATCCTCCCCTCCCCTCCCCCTCCCTCTCCATTCTCAAGGGAGAGGGAGGAAGAGAGGGGAAGGAGGGTAGAGAGAGGGAGAGAATGAGAATTTGGCTTATACTTGTATGCTTTTATATTTTACCTTGAAGTGTATCTTGAATTAACTTTCTTATGCAAAAGGCAGATACAAGTGAGAAGCAGAATTTTCTGTTGTTTCATGACAGTTGTATATTAATACTATGTGTGCAAAGGGCCTTAAGGTATATTTATACCTGGGGCTTGATGTTTTACCTCAGTTTTATTTTAATAGTGACAGAGTACTTTGTTAGGCATCTAATTCCTGGGGGAGGGTGACCAGTCCCAGAACTTCAATACTAGAGCTTAGAAGGGACTGCCTGGCCTGGTGTGTGACCTGCCTAGCAAGCTACACAGAGTCATTCTAGTCCAGGGTTACTCCCAGCTGCCATGAAAGTGCCATGTTTCTGAGCTCTGCATAGGTGAGAGGGTGGAGGGTGCTAGACACACAGGAAGAATGAACATTGGAGGACCTGATGATCCAGGGGAGGCTCTGGGTAGGGGTGGGCCTGGTCCTGAGGATGGGTAGGAGCCACTGTGATGATAAGATGAGCATGAAGCTGTTACTTAGAGAGAATGTCTTCCCAGGTGGCACAGTGGTAAAGAATCCGCCTGCCAGTGCAGGAGACGTGAGAGACGAGGTCAGGAAGATCCCTTGGAGGAGGGCATGGCAACCCACTCCAGTATTCTTCCCTGGAGAATTCCATGGACAGAGGAGCCTGGAGGGTTACAGTCCATAAGGTCACAAAGAATCAGACTGAGCACAAACACACACAATAGGAGTCACACCCATAGATTTCATATCATCTTATCCTTCAGCAATCCTGTCAGGCAGGTACTATATTTATCTCCAGTGAAGAAACTGAGACTAAGGTCATACAGTGTGGAAACCACGGGCCAGGATCCACTCCCAGGCCTGTCTGCTCTGTGCTGTCAGTCGCAAAGTGGTTACAGAGGAGCTGAGCCCTGTGCCCTGATTGCTCAGGGTCTGCAGGACTCTCCTCAGATCTTTACCTCACAGCACCCCTCTTCTGCCCCTCCAGGGAGAAGCTCGGCAATTTGGATTCAGTTTATATCATTCACCCTGAAGACGTGGCCCGTCTCTTTAAGTTCGAGGGATCCTACCCGGAGAGATATGACATCCCGCCCTGGCTGGCCTATCACCACTATTATCAGAAACCCGTCGGAGTCCTGTTTAAGTGAGTCCTGGGCCCTCTCCCAGGGGCTGGAGGGAGATGCTGGGTGGCTGGGGCAAGGGCAGAGGCTGGGGGTGAGAAGCTGGGGCCGTGTTTGCCCTGCCCTTTCTGTTAACAGCTGGGCCTCTAGACAAACCCCTGTCATCTTCCTGCCTCCATCAAACAGATGATGGGGAGGGTGAACTGCCCTGCCAACCTTCAGGAACATGGTCAGGAAGAAGATCTTACTGAGTAATTAAAGACCTTGAAAAGTTCTCATTCATTGGTTCATCCAGTAAGACCCATTTGATTGAGCACCTCCTCTGTGCCAGTCCTGGTGCTAGACTCTGAGAGACAAGTAGGGCAGAGCCCTGCCCCTAGGAGATTCCCTTATAGTCTAAAGGAGCACTAAGAAGCATGAATAAATCAGTGTATCTAAATGCAATAGATAACATTTTCCACCACATTGCTCATCAAAAAATGAGAATGTGACCATAACAAGTGTTGATGAGGATATGGAGCAACTAGAGTGCTCCTAGCTTGCTAGTGGGACTGAAAGCTGATGCCACCACTTGGGAAAATGGTTGAACATTACTTCCTGCAGTTGAATGCTTATAATGCAGCCATTATAAACCCATGCTTATAATGCAGTCATTCTGCTCTCAGGAATATACTCCAAAGAATACCCCCACCCCACCCACCGAGACGGATATGTACTAAAATGTTTACAGTGCAGTTGTTCATGATAGCAAAAACCGGGAAACCACCTAAATGCCCAACAGGAGCATGAAGAGAGACAGTGGCAGACCCCAGTCAGCAAGAACAGCCTCAGCGTCTCACAACACAGATGATACTTAGAGATATAAATTGAGTGAAAAAAGCAAATCATGACAGCTTTCAGAAGTTGAAAACAAGCATGCATTTTTAAAAAGCACGTTTTAGAAATATATGTCAATCAGATAAAACTATTTACAAAAGCAAATAAGAGATTCAGGTTGGGAGGCAGGGAGGCAGGATGTGGGAGGACCGGGTAGGCATCTGAAAGTTATCATTAAGTTTCTAGTATTCATGTTGGATTGTGAGTTTATAATAACATTCTTGTAAACAAACAAACAAAAAAGCCCCCAAATAACAAAGAGGGCTTTGCACAGATCTTTTTTCAAGAATGGGCTGTAAGTTGAGACTAGGAATGGGTATTAACCAATTTTGGACACCTGAGATTCCCCACCAATTAAAGTAATGGGACGTGTTGGGGGTGCAGAGGTTGGTCAGTTGTGTCTGTGAAGGGGCCAGAAAAGGTGATGTAGAGGGACCCTTGAATGGTAGGAGGTGAGATTGGCCAGGAGGAAGTGGAAGTGGTGGGGAGGGCAGGCCTATAGCAGAAGCCAAGACTAAAGGGCTTGACAGTTACTTAAAGGCTCTAAGCATAGGATTGCCATCTTGTTAAAGTAGCAGCAGCAGCAGAGGGAGTAGAGCACGGTTGGGGGTTTGAACTTCAGCCTTTTATTTTTCTGTCACACAAGCCTCCCTGTTCCCTCCCCTCTGTCCCGCCCAGGCCAGCAGAAGCTGGGAGGAGGGGAGGGCAGGGAGGGCTATGGATGTGAGTGCTGGACTTTGAGCTGTGGCTCAGCCTCCTGGGAAAGCCTAGTCAGCGCCCTCTGTGTTTGCCAGGCCTGGGGTTTGTGACCATGAGGGCCCGAGGGCCCATGTTTTCTCAGGAAGTCAGAAACCTGGAAGAAAGACCGGGTGGTCCTGAACACGGAGGTGATGGCTCCAGAGGCAATAAAGAACTTCATCCCCCTGCTGAATCCAGTGTCTCAGGACTTCATCAGCCTCCTGCACAAGCGCATCAAGCAGCAGGGCTCCGGAAAGTTTGTAGGGGACATCATGGAAGACCTGTTTCACTTTGCCTTTGAGTGTAAGGAACTTGAACCTACCTGGCCACAGTCCTGGGGATAGGAGAACCCAGCATCTCACCTTGAGACCCAGTATAGACTCTGAAGAAGTGTCAGGATTGGTTTCTGGGTGGAACCACTGAACACATTCTCTGTCACCAGCTAGCCGGGGGAGAGCTGCACGCTCTCATCTGATTCATGATATGGGGGCAAGAATTTCTAAAATGTGGGTCCCTATTGCCCCTTTCCTCCAAAAGCCAGGGTTTGACTTGGCCTTTCATTCAGCAAATCTCTCTCCCGGGACAGAGACCTTCCCTTCGAAGTCTGGGAGGGGAGGGGAGGGGAGGGTTGGGTTGGGTGGGTAACTGAAACAGGGTACTGGGGGATGTGTAGGAATTTTCCAGGTGGAATAAAGAAGTTGGACATTGTAGGCAGAGGGAACAGCACATGCAAAGGCCCTGTGGCTTGATGGGGATCATGTGGTCACTGCAGGAGATTTGGAGTGCCCAGGGTTTGGCATAAAATTCCTGACCCAGGAGGCGGGAAACCCTTGGGGGTTGTTGTGACTTCTTATGACCAGCCAGAGTGGGCCCTGGATGGCCAGTTACTGGGGATTGATGTCCCCCCAGGCACCCATCTGACCTGTTCCAGGAAGTATTTAGCCACTCTGGTCAATTATAGATGAGAAGTCTCTCTTCCCAGGAGGAAAGCTGAGAGGCTGCTGGGGGGTGCTGGTGGAAGGGGGACAGTGCAGTTTCCTCCCAGCCTGAGCCTTTTTTCAGCTGTACTGGAGGCTCTGCCTCCCACTCGAGGGATCCCTTTTTAGGGTCTGTCCCATGACCCTCTGAAGGGCCTGACTGGCTGCCACAAAGGCAATTTTCCTTACTCCTGCAATTTCAGCCCTTTGGGACTCAGCTTAGTTACTTTACTGAAGGAGGCTGAAGTTGGATGCAAGGGCTCCCATGTGTCGGGGAGGGGGGCGATGGTTTCCTGGGAGCTGAGGCTCTCAGATGGTCAGGTTGGATGAAATTCTTCAACTCTGCCTTTACCACAGCCATCACCAATGTCATGTTTGGGGAGCGCCTGGGGATGCTGGAGGAGACAGTGAACGCTGAGGCCCAGAAGTTCATTGATGCCGTCTACCAGATGTTCCACACCAGTGTCCCTCTGCTCCACCTCCCTCCAGAACTGTACCGTCTGTTCAGAACCAAGACTTGGAGGGACCATGTAGCTGCATGGGACACAATTTTCCATAGAGGTGAGGGCTGTACCCTGGGCAGTCATAGATGGGAGCCAGGAGAGCCCTATCTGCCTCTGGAGATGGGAAATCCAGGCCTGGGTTGGAGGGCTGAGGGTTGCGGGAGTGGGGAGAAAGACACAGAGGTGGAGAGAAAGTCAGTTGGAAGCCTCAGACCTTGGCCTGCCGTTTTGTCCCAAGTTATGATTGCGGTATAGAAAACCGATGGATGGCCATCAGGAAGGCCCAGGAACCCCTGAATATGGTAGGCAAAAAGCTGGCTCCTGGGGATGATCAGATTTTTCTGGAGAAAGAGGATTAAAGAGGTCTGTCATATTCTTCCAAGGAGCCAGGATTCCCAACATGGGTTAAAGACCAGCATTTCAGACATGGCTGTGCTTGGTGACAGAGCAGGGCTTTGGTGACAGGGATTTGTAAAGGGTGAAGAAGGCTGATTGGGATGTGGTGATGATGCCAGGTCTGGAGTTAAATCCTGCCTCTGCCCTTGACACCCTTGTGACCTTGTGCAAGTTATTATCTTAGATGGACTTCTGTTTCCTTATCTGTAAAATGGGGGTGATAGCACTTACCCTAAATAATTAATAATTAAAAAAAAAAACCCCAGGTATGAGGAACTTTATAGAGCATGCTCCTCAGAGAAACAGCAGCCAAGAAAGTGCAGGGCTCCAGAATCCTCAAGCCCTTGTGCTCCTTCTCGCCACTCTGTAGAGAGCCTTGTTGCTGTTTCTTTTTCTTTTTTTTTGGCCACCTGGAAACACGTAGGATCTTATTTCCCTGACCAGGGATTGAATCTGTGCCCGCCCCCCTGCAGTAGAAGCATGGATTTTTAACCCCTGGACAGCCAGGGAAATTCCTGGCCTCACTCTGTATTCTTTCTTCCTGCCCCACAGCTGAAAGATACACTGAGATCTTCTACCAGGACCTGAGACGGAAAACAGAGTTCAGGAATTACCCAGGCATCCTCTACCGCCTCCTGATAAGTGAGAAGATGCTCTTGGAGGATGTCAAGGCCAATATTACGGAGATGCTAGCAGGGGGCGTGGACACGGTGAGGACACAGTGAGGTGGCCGTAGGGGTACATTCTGTCCCTTCTTGTGCCCCTTTCCCCACAGCCTTCCTCACTGTCTGAAACCCCTGTCCATGAGGGCTCCATCTCCCCCTCCTGACCCTACTTCCTAGATGCTAATCTTCTAGGAGGGCGAGGTCAAGTCAGTCATCCACTGAACGTGTCTTGAGGCTGATCCACCATTTTTTGTTTGCAATAAAGAGGGGGTGACTAGGTACAGGTGGGTGACACAGCTTACTTGGTATCAGGAAGGCAGCGGGATCTCAGAGAAGCTGGGAGCCAACCGGTGGAATTTGCCCTTGGCTTGCCCTCCAAATCTTTTTGTTGCCTTCCAAGCCCCCTCTTCCCGACCTCAGTCCCCCTTGATGCCTCCAATGTCTGAAGGCATCATGCATGGTGTCTCCCAGAGGTCCACAGGCAGAATAATATCCAAGAAACTTCTTTTTTAGTATTTATTTTATTGTATTAATTTGGCTATGTCAGGACTTTGTTGTGGCACGTGGGATCTTTAGTTGTGGCCTGTAGTATCTAGTTCCCTGTCTTGGGATTGAACCCGGACCCTCTGCACTGAGAACGTGGAGTCTTAACGATTAGACCTTCATGGAAGTCCCAGAAGCTTCTGTTCTTGAATGTCAAAATTTCTCTGTCCTGTATGCCTTCCCTTTTTCCTCAAGCGAATGTGATGGTGAGGGTTAATTCATTAGTGTTTCTTGATTGCTAGTTATGATTCAGGCCCCAAGACTATAAAGATGAATGCAGCAGACCTCAAATATCCTAAATGGCTCGGATAGGAAGCATGTATAAGTTTGTGAGAGGTGCCATGACAAAGTAGTACAGACTGGGTGACTTAAACCACAGAAATGTAGGGTCTCATAGTTCTGGATCAAGGTATCAGCAAGGTTGCTTTCTTCTGAAGCCCCTCTGCCTGGCTTGTTGATGGCTATCTTCTTCCTACATCTTCACATAATTTTCCTTACTTCCTTCTTTTTCTTTTCAAAAAAAAAATTATTTATTTGGTTGAGCCAGGTCTTAGTGGCAGCATGCAGGATCTTTAGTTGCAGCGTTTGAACTCTTGATTCCACGCTCTCAATGTAGGGCGCCTGGCTTCAATCCTTGGTTGGGAAACAAGATCCCATATACCTCAACTAAGAGTTCCTGTGCCGCAACTAACACTCCCTTTTCTTCTTACATGGACACCAGTCCTATTTGATAAGGGCCCCCCCATATGACCTCATTTTACCTTGTTTAGTAGCTAAGTTGTGTTCGCTTCTTTTGCAACCCCATTGACTGCAGCCTGCCAGGCTCCTCTGTCCATGGGATTTCTCAGGCAAGAATGCTGGAGTGGGTTGCCATTTCCTCCTCCAGCGGATCTTCCTGACTCAGGGATCTAACTGTGTCTCCTGCATTGGCAGGCGGATTCTATACTGCTGAGCAACCAGGGAAGCTCTCGTTTTACCTTAATTACCTTTTTAAAGGCCCTATCTCCAAATACAGTCACACTGTGAGGTGCTGGGGGTTATGACTTCAACATATGAATTTGGGAGGGACACAATTCAGCCCAAGACAAGGAGGCAGCATGGGCCCAGACGACCACATCTTCACCTTATAGGGCTGGATGACGAGGTACTGGGTACTGACAATGATAAGAAGAGGGGAGAGACCAACATGGCCTTGCAGGACAGCGAGAGCCTCCACAGAGTAAAGTCAAGTTGTCTTCCCTCTTGTGCCAGGAGGAGAGAGAGGAAATAGCATTTCACGACTGGGGAGAAGCAGGTGTCAAAGCCCCTGGGTGAATAACTTCATTTCCTAGGTATTCTATTTACATTGTGCTCTGATCTCTAATGCAGGAGTTTCCATTCCTGGGCTGCAGATGGAGACTTTGAGCATATAGTAAACATAGTTCATTGTCAGTCATGTAAAAGGGATTCCCCTTTAAAAGCTCACCTGCACTAGAGCAGCTGTTATTCTTGGGTAACATTTATTAAGCAAGCACTATACAGCAAGCAGGATCCTAAGCTTTTCACATGAACTCTTTTAACTCATTTAGTATTCACAAACAACACTTTGCAGTATGTTACTGCTCCCCTTTGTTGAGATGAGGAAACTGGGGCATAGAGAGGTTAAGGAACTTCATTAAGGTCACACAACCAGTAATTCGGGTGAAAGTGAAAAGTGAAAGTGTTAGTCGCTCAGTCCTGTCTGACTCTTTTCCACCCCATGGACTATAGCTCAGCAGGCTCCTCTGTCCACGGAATTCTCCAGGCAATAATACTGGAGTGGGTAGCCATTCCCCTCTCCAGGGATCGAACATTGCAGGCAGATTCTTTTACCATCTGAGCCACCAGGGAAGCCCTAACTTAGCTGAATACAGCCAGCAGTCTCTCTCATCCTGCAAAAGCCATGCTGGTCTCTCCTCTTTTCTCAGTGCTGTAGTACCTGATGCCTCGTCATCCAGCCCTCTTACCTATTAAACAAGTATCTCCTGAGTACCCACGCTGTGTCAGGCCTTGGAAGGAGTGAGACAATTACATGCATTTGATCAGAGCCTTGAGGGAGGAGTACACACCTGCTTCCTAGGCTGGGGAAGGGAACTGTAGGAAAAGGGAACAGCATGAGGAAGATTTCTGGGCTTCAGGAGCTGCATGTAGCTCAGGGTGGCTGGACCATGTTGGAGAGAGGTGACAGTGGGCTGGGAGCAACCGGCAGGTGTTGGAGGGGGTCCATGGGTCTGGTCACAGCCTCTGGACTTGATCTGGGGACTCCAGGGATCCAGGCAAGAATTTCAAGCTGGGAAGTGACTGGTTGGCATTTTTTTTTTTTTCACAATTGCTTCCACTGGGAGGAAGAAGAAGCATGTCCAAAACTCTTGGACCAAAATATGATCCTTGGCAAGTTAATATGCCAACACCATGTATCTAGCCCTAGGACATATTCCAGTTCCATTACTGAGGAATCTAAACTGTGGGGCCTGAGGAGGATCACTCATACCTCCAGTGAAAGTTAACACTCACTACATTAGCCCTGAGATTAGCTGGTCAGTCTCAGTATAGACCACATGCTAATTGCAACTCTGATATAAAACAGGTCTGGTTGTTCTGGTTTCAGCATTTTTGAGCCTCACTTTATGCTATACTACTATAGGCAGATGCTGCATTTAGGTGGAAGTTCTACTGGGGAGAGGGCTGCTCATTTAACAGGCATTTCAAGAGGAATGGCAGTCATCAGGAGTACAACCATTACAGAAGTAGGATTTGGCCTCTTAAGGCCTCTGGAGTCCTTTGGAAGAAGGCATTAGTTATGTGGATGACCCTCTACTGGCTGGGAAGATGGGACAGCTCTGGTGATGTGAGTGGGGAGGGCAGGGATAAGTAGTGCCCCAAACATTCCTGCTTGGACCACAAGAAAAGCTTCTTGGACATTTGCCTTAAAAAATAATAATAATAATTTAAAAATTTACTTATTTGGCTGCACCAGGTCTTTGTTGCAGCATGCAGGATCTAGTTCCCTGACCAGGGGTTGAATCTGGACCACCCCTGCATTGAGAATGCAGAGTCTTAGCCAGTGGACCACCAGGGAAGTCCTGACATTTGCCTTCTGAATTGTGTTTTGCTTTATGTGGATAGTGGTTTCTGGATCCCCGGACGAGCGTGAGGGGAAGTGTTCGGCAATGAAAATTTAGCATGTGTCTAGATGCACCATGAGTAACCAGCCCTCTGGGTTTTCTGCATCCCCACACTCTCCACCAGACATCCATGACGTTACAATGGCATTTGTACGAGATGGCACGCAGCCTGAATGTGCAGGAGATGCTGCGGGAGGAGGTTCTGAATGCCCGACGCCAGGCAGAGGGAGACATAAGCAAGATGCTGCAAATGGTCCCACTCCTCAAAGCTAGCATCAAGGAGACGCTGAGGCAAGCCCACTCCCACCTATGCCTGCCCCGCCCACCCCACCCCCTCAAATCCCTGGGCAGGGACAGGGTGCTGCCTGAGCACAGGGTTACAAGGATGGGCCGGTGGAGAAGATGGGTAGCAGGAAGTGAGGAGTCTGGGGAAGACAGCTGGGAATGGGGAGGAGGGGTCCTGCCTCCAGAGCACCCCCACCAGGGTGCTGCAGCTGGAGCCGAGCTGCCATCCTGGGGGCCAGGTCTTTGTCCAGGCCTTGGGGCATCAGCCTCTGAATGCTTTTCACTGGCAGACTCCACCCCATCTCCGTGACCCTGCAGAGATACCCTGAAAATGACTTGGTTCTTCAAGATTACCTGATTCCTGCCAAGGTAGGTGTGGCAAGAAGGCTGCCGGTTCTGTTAATCAGACAGGGGAGGCCAGGGGCAGACTGCAATTGCATAAGGTAGTGGCGAGGGGGCTTCTGTCCTGCCTTTCTTCCTGGGGCTGGCTGGTGGGGTCCTTGGCAGCAGTGGTCCCAAGGGTGAATGAAGGGCAGAGGGGACGGTGGTGTTTGGGATGTTGCTGGACTCCTAGGTTAGGAGGGAGATTCCACGGGCTGCCTTGGTTTCTGAGGGTCCTCTGGGACTGAGGAAAGCGGCAGGACAATCCCTTGGGCCATCCCCAGCCTAGTGTTTTGGTGTGCCCATTGGATGGGTGAGGCTCATGGAGAGGTGGGGCCTTATTCAAGATCACAGTGGGTATTATGCTGTGCTGGTATTCTTCCGGGCTGTGAAGAGGTAAGGCCTACTCAGACCTCGGCTCACCTTGTCCTCAGACACTGGTGCAAGTGGCCATCTATGCCATGGGTCGAGACCCTGCCTTCTTCTCCAATCCGGACAAGTTTGACCCAACCAGGTGGCTGGGTAAAGACAAGGACCTCATCCACTTCCGGAACCTGGGCTTTGGCTGGGGAGTGCGGCAGTGCGTGGGCCGGCGGATCGCTGAGCTGGAGATGACCCTCTTCCTCATCCACGTGAGTCTGCCCTGGGGACATCTGTCTCCCGGGACTTGGTCTCCCCTCCCCCACAACCCCCTGAGGTCTCCTTTTGGGGCAAATCCACTCACCATCCACGGGTGCTCCCTGGCCATAAGTTCCCACAGAACTTATGATGGGAGGGGGTGGGGGTGGAAAAGGTTTCGTAGAAACCAAAGTGAAAGCCTGAACCAGGGGGACAGAATGCTAGTGGTATTTTCAGGCTCTGCACAGGGTTCAGTAGGAGCTGGAAGTAGACCCCCTTGGAGCATCTCACATCACACACAACTGCTCCCAGGTGAATGAGCCTGAGCTGGGGGAGACAGACCTGCCCCGCCTCTCCCCTAAGCCCACTACCCCTCTTTCTCAGATTCTGGAGAACTTCAAGGTTGAAATGCAGCATATCGGTGATGTGAACACCATTTTCAACCTCATCCTGACGCCGGACAAGCCCATTTTCCTTGTCTTCCGGCCCTTCACCCAGGACCCGCCCCAGGCGTGACCGGAGAGGGCGGGCACTGCCCTTTCCACCAATCCAGCTAGCCGGGGTGTGGGAGGACGGCCAGAGGGGGTGGGGCCATGGAGCTACCCGCACCTCCATCGCTGGCTCAGTCCACACCCCTTGCACATTTCTGGCCAGCTCTGACCAGATGGAGCTGGCGCTCAGGGGCCAGCTGCTTCAGCTCAGCTGAGGCACCCCTGTCTCACCCTACCTCTTCCCCCTCTTCACCCACCCCATGAAGGCAATAAACAGGTTAATGCTGCAAAGTGCTTTCATTTTCCATCTGACCCCCTAAGGTAGTCATCACTCCTGGAGCGATGCTCTCTGACCCAAGTCAGCAGATAGATCTGAGCATGAATGGAGAACTGCTACCCTTGAAGCCATTTCTGCTGGGACCCACCCACCTATAGCAGCTCAGGAGCCAACAGGCTCCACTTCCCTGTTGTCCTGTTGCTTATGAGGCAGAGCAGATGGATGGCTATTGCCATTGCACCACTGGAGCAGCTGGCAGAGGGACAAAAACTTGGCTGAGTTCTGCTGAGAGAACAGGGCAGCCTGAGAGGTGTGGGCCAATCCTGGCTCCCCAGGCAGGCCCACCTATCAGGGGTGAGGCTCCTACAGTGCTCTGCTTGGCTGAGCCTTGGGTGGGAATTCCCTGTGGGGCCACAAGGACTTCCTGCCAAGGGCCAGTGAGAGTCGAGCATGATGTCTGGGGATGATGTGGTGAAGAGGCTGTGGGTGAGGGGCTGGTGTGAGGTGACTGACTCTGGGAAGAAGAGGCCGGCATGCTTCCTCTATCCCACCTGCCCACCCTTCTCTGGGCTTCCCCAGGCCTCAGCTTCCTGCACCAGTGGGACAGGCCCACAGGTCCAAGCTCTGGGCATTAGGCAGGGAGACTGGGGCAGAGTCTCTGGTGCATTACTTGGACTGCCTGACAATGGTATCAATTTTAACCCCCTTGGCCCCCTCTGAGTTCTGTGACTCCTGACTTGACCAGGTACCTGAGTCTCCCTGGCCCTTGGCTACTCAAGTCCAAGTTAGGCAGACATGGGAGGCTAGTGCTGCTCAGATAGCAGCCCGAATGGCTTGGCCTCTTCTACCAGGATCTGCAGGTTCTGAGTTCACTCTTGGAGCCTTTCTGCTTCTCCTCATCACAGTCTGCTTCCTTATTGTCTTTCTCTCTCCTTCCTGCTTCCTTTCCTTTCTCCAGACTTGAGTCGTTTTTGCTTGGAAATGTTAGAGTTGGAGGGCCTTACGGTCACAGATGTTAGCCCAGAGAGGTTGCTTGAGTCACTCAAGATCACACAGCATGCTTGTAGCTCGAAGCCAGGCCTCCTAACTTTCAGTGGAGGGCTCCTCCTTCTAGCCCCATCTGCTTTTCTGTCCCTGGATGTGTTTAGACACAACACTCCCAGCTCAGCCTATCCCTTGTGAATGGAGTATTTCATATTAACATGTAACTGATCGTCACAGGCAGGCTTCAAGTCTTTTCCTTCCCAAGAAACAGAGAAACCAAACTTGAAACAAAGGATTTCAGATATGATACATGTTGAGGGGCAGGTAGAAAATCCCAGCCTCTCTTACCAGCTGATCTCTGGTGGTCTCAATTCTTTTGGAGGTCTGAATGGGGCTTGTGTCCCTGGTTCCTGCTTTGAAAGGCCTCTTCACTCTCCCTGCCCACTCCTGTCCTGGGTCCACTATGGCATTTGACTCTCTAAAGAGGGTAGCTCCTGGAACAGGCAGGAGGCTATAGGGCTACAGCAGAGGGCCCAGACCCGGAGTGGGGTCTGGAAGGAGGAAGCTTAGGTACCCCAGGCTGCCCTGCTCTGGGAAAGGGGTGAATGCTCACTGACATACAGCATTTAATAAAGTCATTTTAAGGGGGTGGGGCTGAGACCCCAGCACGCAGAGGGGGAGGTCTGCTCTAGGACTCAGGCCTGCTAGGAGTCAGTCTGTTGAGATTTTGAGAGCTTGTTGAGCTTAGTCTCTGAGCTGGGCATCAAGGGGTCCAACTTGGAGGGTTGCGTTTGGCCCTTGGAAGGGTTCTGTGGTGGCAAAGCGAGATGAAATGAGTATGTCTCTGCCCCCAGAGGGGTGATCCAATAAAATGCATCTTTCCTGGAAAGTCATGCCTCAGACAATCTGAAATCCAGTGGGTCATGACTTCTCAAAGGTTTGCAAACCCATTTAACCACAGTAGGTCATACCTAATTTCTCCCAGAGTCTCCAGGGCTCAGTGGGTAAGTCTACTAAGGTAGCCTGGTATTCCTCCCATCCCCAGTGCCCCCATCCTTTTCGGGCCTGTCCAGGAGCTAGGAAAGAAGCAGAATACTGATGATTCAAGAGCAGGAGCAATCGGGGGTTTGCTTTGTGGGGCTGGGTGGTCCAGGGCTGAGTTTGAGGGGCCTATTTGTTCTTGGGAAGCTGGCAAGTTTTCTCTCTGGCAGCACGATCCCATCTCTGGCAGTGTGCGGCACTGCACTTGCCCAAGAAGGACATGTTCATGGGAGAATCTTAGGCACTGTGGGGTGGGGTGGGAGCCACAGCTACTCTGCCCATGAGCAAATCCAGTCCTAAAGTATAGACAGTGCCAGGGCATTTGAGAAATGCCCTCGTGGGCAACCTATTAACCACAGTCATCTCGTTGGTGATGCTCATCACCACCTGAAGGGGAGGGCATGTCTTGGCAGGATTCACTATTCCCCTTAGACCAGGGGGCATTGCAATGGGGCAAGAGCTTCGGCTGGTAACTGAGCAGAAGCTGAGCCTGGGTCCTCTGACTACCAGCCAGGAAGCAAGACCCCCTGAACAGTTTTTCTCAAGGTCCAGTGACTCTGGAGGTGGGGTGGCTGCCAGATCCACCACCCGAGCCCCAAGGAGCTCCCTCATGGGGATCACTCACGGGCACGTCTGTGGTGACCATGTTGGAAGGGTGCTGCAAGCCATATTCTTGTTCCTGCAGCCGTGTGGCCAAGTCCTGCTTCTCTCGTCCCCAGCGCCGAGCTGAGTCCTCTAACTGTAGTTATGAAGAGGCACAGATAGAGAACCACTAGGCAGCAGGCCCCCTCCCTGAGAGCTAGGACAGCCTACCTGAGCCTGCTCTTTGGGGTAAAAGCAAAACCCGAGTTCATGTGGGCTAGCCACCCTCCCAAGAGACCTCAGGGTGACAAGAGTGGGTGAAGAGGGACTCAGTGACCGCTTGACTATGACTGATGGATCTTCTGTTAGTTCCACTGCATACTGAGCCCAGACACTATTACAATGAGTCCAACCAACCCTCCACCACGGGGCTCCAGCCCTCCTTATATGTATGGGAAGCCCTGCCTCACCTCGACACTTGTCACGAGTTGAGCCCCCAAACTCCTCATGCACTGAGCCCCAAACCTGTGTCACACAGGGAGCCCTGATCCTGATCGCAAAATGAAAGTGAAAGTCCCTCAGTTGTGTCCAACTCTTTGCGGCTCCATGGACTGTAGCCCACCAGGCTCCTCTGTCCATGGAATTCTCCAGGCAAGAATACTGGAGTGGGTTGCCATTCCCTTCTCCAGGGGATCTTCCTGACCCAGGGATCAAACCCAGGTCTCACAATTAAGGAAGCCCCCCCTGATCACAAATGGAGCCCCAACTCTCCTGACACACAGATCCCAGACCCTCCTCACAAACTGAGCCACCACTCTGATCACACGTGAAGCATGGACCCAGTCACACACCAAACTCAGACCCTGGTTCAAATGGAGCCCTGACACTGGATGCAGACCGAACCCTGATCCTCCTCACTGAGCCCAGATGTGGTCACACAGGGAGCCCTGAACCTGGACAAACATTGAGCCCTGACCTTGGTCACACATGGAGCCATAACTCTCACACACTGAGCCCCAACCCTCCAAACACATGGAGACCTGACCCTTCATACAAGGAGCCCCAACCCAGGTCACAAATGGAGCTCTGACCCTGGATGCAGACTGAACCCTGACCTTCCTCACTGAGCCCAGACATGGTCAAACAGGGAGCTCCATCCCTGGACAAACACTGAGCCCAGATCCCGGTCACATATGGAGCCCCGACACTGGTCATATACAGAGACCTGACCCTCCAAACACACAGAGCGCCCACTCTCGAGACTACACAGGGAGTCTCAACCCTCCTCACACCCTGAGCCCCAACCCTCTTCTAACATGCAGACCTGACCCTGGTCACCAGTGGAGCCCCAATTCTTCTCACAGAGCCCTAACCGTCCTGAAACACAAATCCCTGATCCTGGTCACAAAGCAAGCCTTCACCCTCTTCACACTTGGAGTCCTAACCTCCTCATACAGGGAGTCCCGACCATAGCAAACACCCATCACCAGTGCCGGACACACACAGAGCTCTGACCCTGGTCATACAGGGAATTCCCACCCTGGTCATGCATGGAGATTGACCTGAGCCCAACCTACTCTAACATGCAGCCTTGACCCTGGTCACAAAGGGAACCCTGACTTTCTTCACACACTGAGCTCTGACATTCCTCATACAGGAAGTCCAAACCCTAGACCAAAACTGATTACTGAGACTTCCCTGTCATCCAGCAGTTGAGAATCTGCTTTGCAACGCAGGGGACCCAGGCAAGCTAAGCTCCCACATGCCTCGGGGCAACAAGGCTCGTGCGCCACAACTACTGAGCCTGCGCTCTCCACAGCTAGAGTCTGTGCCCTGCAAGGAAAGATCCCGCATGACACTACGAGGACCCTGTGTGCTGCAACTAAGGCTCGATGCAGCCGAATAATAAATAAATATTAAAAATAAAACCGCCATCACCAACCCTCAACACACACAGAGCCCCCACTCTGATCACACACAAAGCCTTGACTCTCCTCCTCTCATACAGAGCGCTGACCCCAGTCACACAGTGAACCACGACCCTCCTCACAGAGGAAATTCCCACCCTGGTCACCCCCAGAGACCCAATCCCCCTCACACACTGGACCCCAGCCCTGGTCACACAGGGAGCCCCGACGCTAGTCACACACCAGGCACTAGTCCCAAAACGGAGCCCCCAGTCCTGGTCACAAATGGGCCCCTGACCCTGGATGCAGACTGAGTCCTGACCCTACACATACACATTGAGCCCAAATGTATTCAATAGGGAGTCCTGATACTCTAAATACGGGGAGCCCCAATCCTGGTCATGAATTAAATCCTGACCCTCCTCACACATACAGCCCTGATCCTTTTCAAACACAGAGCCCCGATTCTGGTCACAAATGGACCCAAACCCTCCTCAAACTTGGAGCCTCGGCGCTCCTCACACACGGAGCCTCCAACCCTCCTGAAATATAGAGGTGGAGCCAGGTCTCTGAACTGAGTGGAGACTCCCTGGCCTGTGTGATGCCTTCACCTCACCTACCTGGCTTTCCAGAGACAGGATCCGGCTCTGAGCTAGTTCCAGCTTGGCCAGGAGGTTAAACTTGTCTGAATTATTGGCAAGGAGATCCTGTGGGCAAAGCAGAAATTCGTACATGGTCCCCGTAGGGGGCTGGAGCTCGGGAGGCCAGGTGACACTGAGGGAGAAATCAGCCAGGTCTAAGCTCCAAGTTCAGCTCCCAGTGCAGAGCCTCAGCTGGCATTTAGTCGCTCAGTCATGTCTGACTCTTTGCAGAACCTCAGACTCAGGGCCAAAGCCCCTGCCCAGGGTTTCACACTTGGCATGTGCCATTTTCACAGCTGTTCTCCCCACATAGTTTTGAGTGTATGAAATTTTTGTACATCAATTAAAATTTTAAAAATATACGAGGGAGGGCTTCTCTGGTGGATCAGGGGTGAAGAAGCCCCCTGCCAGTGCAAGGTACACGACTTTGACCCCTGATCTGGAAAGCCCCCACATGCTGCGGAAGCAACTAGGCCCATGTGCCACAACTCCTGAACCTCTGCTCTAGAGCCTGGGAGCCGCAACTACTGAGCCCACGTGCCTAGAGCCCGTGCTCTGCAGCTAGAGAAACCACTGCGATGAGAAGCCCATGCACCACAATGAAGAGTAGCCCCTGCTCACTGCAGTTGGAGAAACCCCACACACAGCAACGAAGACCCAGCACAGCCATAAGTAAATGAATATATCTTTAAAAAAAGTATTAATACTAGGGAGCACTAGGTTAGTGCACAGAAGGGAACCTTGAGCTGGCGAGGGAGGTGGTCTTTCTGTAAAGTAAAGGATCTGCTTGTAAAGTGAGGGTTCCCCATCTTCTGCACTTTACCTGGATGTCCATGCATTGAGGGTGCTTTCAAACAGAACTCACCTCCTGTGAATCCTGGGATGAAGAGAAAAACTCTGCTGTGCTCAGCCCACCTGGCTTTTGTAATTCCAAATGTTCGGTCTCTGGGTTTGCATAAAGCAGGGACACCTGCAACAGCCTCAGAAGGAGAGAGGGGCCAGGGACACCCACCTGTGTGGTCAGGGTGCCCCTGGAGTGGCCCGGGGCTTCTGTCTCTTGCAGTCTCTCTGCCAGGTCTCCTCTTGCTCCCAACTCCCCAGGGACCACCTGGGCTCAGGGAAAGGGCTCTCTAAGGCTGTCCCAATCCAAGGAAATGCTCCAGGATGGAGTTCTGAGAGCCCTGTGTGGGGCCCCACTGCAGGCCAGCCAGGTGGCAAATGGGGTCAGGGGTCAGCTAGGGGCTTGCTTGCTCTCCCAGGATACTAGATGAGGGTAAAGGTGCAGCTTTCAGACTCATGGGTGTTCCCCAGGGGAAGAGCCAAGGCCCGAGAGCTAGAGACTCTCCAGAGATTCCAGGCACACTGGAGACCCTGGGAAACCTAGCTCCTGGCCTCGGGCTTCGCCTCGGATTGTGCGGTGGGTGGTTTCTGGGCACCCGGTGACCTGGGTGGGCAGGCCCAGGACCACAGTTGTGCTGGTGGCTCTTACCGGCAGGGCCTGTGGCTGCAGAATGATGGGGGCTGACTGGTGGCAGTTCTTATCCAGCTCTGCCTGCAGTCTCAAGTTTTCCGTGAGCAGCAACGAGTAGACGTCAACAGGCAGATTCTCGCCCGTAGGATCCGGGGGAAGGCCAGAGGCCGAGAGCATGGGGAAGGCTGTGAATGTGGCCATAGACGTGCATGAGATAGGCTTTCCTGCCTCCATGTGCCTGACCCAATCTGCCTCAGTTTTCCTTCTTTCTGCTCATCCTCTGCTCCCCAGCCTGCTATGGCTCCCTACTGCCAGTGAGATCAGGTCCACACGCCTCCTGAGGCTATTGTTCTAGGCTCTTTAGAATCTGACCTGGGTGATCTCCCTAATCACTGCCCTGCCCTTTGTCCTGGGTCTGTTTCAGTTCCTCATCTCTATCTTTCCTCCTTTTTCTGCTTCTGTCATCCTTACTCCCTGGGCCAGGGCCTGGCTCTTTCCTCTCCCAAGATTGCCTTCTCATCTCTCATGCTAACCTCAGGGTTCCTGAAAGGTGGGCCCAACTTTCATTGTTTCTTACAGGCCTTCAAAAATGCCCCCTCACTGACACCCCATGCAGTGAAGGCTGTCACAGGGCTGGGCTTACAGGGGTCCCCGGTGAGGTGGCACAGAAATCCTCTGCTTGGGCTGACATGATCCCGTGCAACCTGGTTCTCTTCTGCTTATCAGAGCTGCCTTGGATGGGCAGTTCTAGATGGCTTTGGTTTAACATCGATGGAGAAAGCAAATCATAGACTTAACCAAAATATTTTTTTTCTGTTTATTTTGTAGAAACAGACTCTTTGAAGATATAGGGAGATGAGTATATAATTTGAAGGGTCCTGGAGTTAAGAAGTTGGGAACTGCTGCCTGGGAAAGCCCCTCTTTGCAGGCAGCCCATCTCTGTTCACTTGAGTCTCAGAGCTGCTTCTGGAAGGTCAGAGCCTCTTTCTAGCATGGTTCACACGCTGTGTCCCCTCCCTTGTGTTCTGAGGGGCTCCCTGGCAGGAGAAGGGAGTTCAGGGGGCCTCTGGAAGTGCTGAGTGTCTGAATGAATGGGGAACTAGCACCCTCTGGGCAGTTTGAAGGTGCTTCTGAAACTGAGAGGCTCCAAGAAGGCAGGGCCTCCAGGGGCGGGACGACAGCCGGGGAGCAGACTCACGCATGCTGGGCTTTCCCTGCGGCTTGTCCTGCAGGGGCTTGCTCCTCTTGCGCAGCCTGTCCTCCAGCACTTGCTCCATCTTCTCGATCACCTGGAGGGCAGAGCACAGGGGCTGGGCTTGCCCAGGGGCACCACACCTTCCCCTCAGTGGCTGGGTCTGGGCAGCCTGGCCCTTCTGCCACCTGCCTTCTCCTGGTGCCTCACGGTCTCCTCCAGCGCCTTTATCTTCTGCAGTTTGTCCTGGTAGCGCTTCAGCAGTGCAGCCTGTGGCTGTTGAGCCTGGTGTAGGAGGAGCAGCTCCTTTTCTCGATCGTTCTTCTGATGGTGGGGGGGGGGGCGGGGGGGAGAGGGGAGAGGAGGGGGAACAGGGGTGCCCTTGGCCCCGAGGGTCCACCCCAGCCCTCTCTGCTCAGTCCTCCTCTGCCCTGGCCCCTGGCCCCTATGTCCCTCTTCCTTCTACTTTCAGACACTCCCTCCCGAGCGCCCTTCCCCTCTGCCCTCCGAGCCCTGGCTTACTTGAATCAGTTCGTTCTGCAAACGCTTGTCCCTCCGCTCCTTCATGTCCAGCTGGCTCAGCAGCAGTTTCTGCTTCATGGATGCTGGTGGTGGTGGAGGAGCTGGCTCAGGGTGGAGGCCCCTCCCAATTCAAATTGGAATACTTGGTGGGGGGGCAGGTGGGGAGGGCAGGTGTCTCTCAGTCCTGGGGCTTGAGACAGGACTGGACTCTCAATTTCCCACCCCGGAGAGACCCCAGGATCCTATTGATTAGCCTGTGTCCCGCAGCACGCAGCACCCCTGGGCGAGGCCCCCACCACCCTGTTCCCTCGGTGGCCTGCACGCCCTCACCCAGGTTCTGGGCCTTGCCAGGGCTGGCTGACTCCTCTTCTACCTCCTTCTGGGCCAGCTGGCTCCTCAGCAGGCGATTCTCTGCCTCCAGGATGCTGGTCTGTTTCTGCAGTGACAGGATGTCTTCTGCCATCTTCTGCATGGCCCGCCGGTAGTTGTTCATCTCCTGTGGACTCCAGAGCTCAGAGCTGAACCCCCAGCCCCACTGTGGCCGCCACCCAACATCGACATTCACACTTGGAAATCAGCGGGTCACTCCCGAGGCCAAAGAACAGAAAGAATCGCAAGCTGTGCCCTCAAGTCTTAGCAACTCTTTGGAGGGGTGGTCATGACAGGGTCTTCACCCCTCCTGGTCAGTGAGAAGAGCTGTGTAAATGTGCTCTTCTGGGGGCTTACTTCTTTTCCTGAGATGCCTTCTAGTGGGGACCCAGGCATCAGACACCAGTGAGGAAGCCCCTGCGTGATGGAGATTTGAAAAGCTCTGGGCCAGCTCTCCAGGGCCTGGCCAAATCAGGGCCATTTTCACCTTTTCCCTTCTCCTTTCTTCCTTCTCTAATCCCTCTTCTTCCTCGTGTCACTGAGAACCTAGGGAAGAATCACTCTGAAATCTCCCTGAATGCCCCTTGGGAGCTGCCCCTGGGCACCAGCCTCCCAACAAGCCCAGGGGTCTTGAAGGGACCCAAGGTAAGCCTGGGAGACCCAGATAAGGACTCAGGGTCAGCGCTAGGATCCAGGTATAGGATCCAGGGTATGAGGTGGGGCCAGGATGCCAGGCTCTGTCATTAGGTTAGGAGTAACAGCAATACAAATATCTGGTGTTCACTGAGCATTTACCATGTTCTAGGTCAGGCCCGCCTCCTTCATTTAGCCTGTGAGGATGGGTTCTATTATCATCCTCATTTTACTGACGATGAAGACAAGGGCCAGAGAGGCGAGTAGCCTGCTCAGTCACAAAACCAATGAGTGGCAGGGTCGGGGCCTGAAATCCATGCCTGCTGGCCCTTGAATCCTTATTCTTAAGCTCTGTGCAATCCTGTCATGATGTCCCCATATAGGGAAACTTCACAATATTTTGAGAAGTGATGAAAACAGGTTACTACAAAGAATTATGATCTCAACTTGGGGGAAAAAAATGCATGTTTGCCCTTATGTGTACATAGGAGAATTCATAGGTTATATTTACACTATTTGCTTTATAATCAGAAATTCCCCACTGTTATTTACAAACACTTTTGTGAGGATAGTTTCTTAAATATAAACAGTACAACAAAATAGAAAAGAGAGACTCAAAACGTGAAGCCAGAAAGATCCGCGGAGGGGGAGGAGGTAGGAGCTAGGCTGAGGGTGGAGCAGGAGGAGGGAAGCAAGGCCATGGGGAGCTTGCTAAGCCCTGGTGGCCTGTGGCTTTCCTGAGACTGTGCAGGCCTTGCAGGCGGGGGGTGGGGGCTCCAGCCAGGAAGGGGCTCCCAAGTCCTCAGGAAGCGGAGCTTGGTCCCCAACTCCCACCTGGGCCCCATGCTGACTGGGGATGTGGCCTGGCTGCCAGTCACTGCCTCCAGCCTGTTGCATGGTGGGCTGCTGGCTTCCCGGAGTGGGGTTCCAGACAGCAGGGGTTCATCAGATGCCACTTGTCACCTGCTACTGTCTAGCCTTCTGGCTAGACTGCCTCTGAGTGGTGCCAGTGCTCGGCCCATCTCTCCAGCACCTGCCCCGGTCAAGTTTCAGGTCTTGGCTCCTGTAGATCTGCCCATCTGGTGCCCTCAGACAGCTGCATTAATTAGGACACTCAGCCCAGAGCCTGCACCCCCACAGGGCTTTGTGGTCAGGCCCCAGGCAGAAGCCCAGCTTGGCTACTGACTCACTGAGTGAGCTTGGACGAGCCCCTTTAGCAAGGGGACGAGCCCCTTACTGAGCCTCAGATTCCTCTGGCAGCAGGAGCCTGGAGTTGCTGCAAGCTCTGAGTTCAGGGGCCCTGCCTCAGGCATGCAGGCCTTAGAGGCAGCAGTTCCCACCCCACCCCATCTCTGTTCTAGTACCAGCTTTAGTTAACAGGTCAGACCCCTTCCTCTTCATCCTTTCTACCCTCAGCCTGGGTTCCCTTGCTCCCTCCTCTGCTGTGTTCTACATCTTCAATGTATAGCAGGCCCCTGATGGAGAGGGGTTTGGGAGGCTCAGTAGACTGTCAAGAGGAACCACATGATATTTTTGAAAAAGGAAATTCATCTCTCCTTTCCCTCCCTAGCCTAGTTCAGGCTCTTCTCATGTCTTCTCTGAACAATTACAGCAGTATCCAAGTGGGTTTCCTTGATTTAGAATTATCTTTTAGAGAAAACCCAACTCATCCAAGAAAACAAGTTCAAGGATGCCCCACACACTGCAATTCGTGATTTTATTCTGGGAAATGCTCAGTCTCTGGATATAGGCAGTACTTACAAGGAATGACCTAGATTCAATTGTTCTGAGGCAGAGATGTCTATACTGTATTTTTAAGCAAAAAAAAAACAATGTGGCAAATTAATATGATCACATCCACAACTGGTATGTGTATGTGTGAATGCATGTGTGCACTTGTGTGCATGAGTGCATACATACAGATGTATAGTAACAGTAGGAACGGATCAGTTTGGGAAGGAAAAGGAAAACTTGCTTAATCTCTGCATTTTTCTAAGAATTTATCCATGTTATTCATCTAATTAAAAATAATTTAAACCAAAATACATTGAGGGCTATACCATGCTCACAGATTGAAAGATGAAATGTTTAAAGAGTTAGTTCTTCCTTAAACTGATTCATAGATTCAATGTATTTTCAATTAAGATCATAACCCTCTTGTATATGTGGAGAAATAGATGAACTGGTTCTATGAGAAATAAAAAGAACAAGTATAGCCAAAATACTTTTGAAGAGGAACAGGTGGGAAGACTTGCTCTATCAGCTGTCAAGATTTATGATAAAGCTACAGTAATTAAGACAGGGTAATATAACTGCAAAGTTTGATAAGCAGGCCGAAACATGAGAGAGCCCTAATACAGATCCACACATATACGGACTCAACATATGATGATGTTACAGGGTGGTAGGGAAAGGATAGCAATTTTAATAAAAGTTGCTGCATCAATATGACATCTATCTGGAGAAAAGGGAAACTTGACTCCTATTACATACCATAATTAAAAATAAATCCAGATGGACTGTAGATCTAAGTGTAAAAGGTAAGTCAATAAAGCCTCCAGGGGACAAGGATAAGAATATCTTTATGAACTTGGGGTAGGGAAAGGTTTTTCAAAACAGGAAATCTCAAAAAAAGGGGAGACTTCCATGGTGGTCCAGTGGTTGAGATGCAAGCCTTCACCACTATGGACCCAGGTTCAATCCCTGGTTGGGAAACTAAGATCCTACAAGTCACGCAGTATGGCAAAAAACAAAACCAAACCCAAAACAAAAAATGCCCAAACCAAAATATGCCCCCAAAGCACAAATCAGGATAGAAAAGACTGATAAACTGGTACATTTAAATTAAGAAATTTTATTCGTGTAAAGACATCATTAACAGGGTGAAATGGGCAAGAAAAGTGGGAGAAGATACTTGCAACAAACACAACCAAAGATGAACTGATATTCAGATATAAAAACGACTCCCAGGCTTCTCTGTGGTTCGGTGGTAAAGAATCCACCTGCCAATGCAGGAGACACAGGTTTGATCCCTGGTCCAGGAAGATCCCACATGCTGCAGAGCAACTAAGCCCAAGGGCCTCAACTATTGAGCCTGTGCCCTAGATCCCAGGAACCACAACTACTGAAACCCACGCTCCCTAGAGCCTACGCTCCACAACAAGAGAAACCATCACAGTGAGAAACCCACGAACCACAACTAGAGAGTCATCCCTGCTCAAAGCAACTAGAGAAAACTGCACAGCCATGAGGTCCCAGCATAGCCAATGAATACATAAAACATAAATAAATAAAATTATAAAAAACAACTCTCACAAATCCATAAGAGGAAGCCAGACTATGTAACAGAATAATGGACAAGAGATTTGAACTGACCCTCAACAAAATAAGCCAATAAGCATCTGAATTGGTGGCCACCCTCATTAGTCCTTTAAAACCAAAAAGATTCTGCTATACACTGCCACATTGACTAAAACAAAAACAAAACAATCCTGATCATATCACATGTTGGTGATGATGTAGAACAAGTAGAACTCTTAGTCTCTGCTGGGGGAACGTGAAGTGCCACCATCCTTTCACAGATATGTTCGGAAACTGGATCCTATTCATGTTGAACACCTGCATAGCCTATAATCTGGCAATTATACTGCTGAGTATGTACCCACCCCCCCAAAATGCACATGCGAATGCATCAAGAAGCTGGTGTAAGAACATTACTAGCAGTATTATTTGTGATAATATTAAACTGGAAATAACACAAGTACCCATCACAGTAGAATGGTGGCAGAGTCATATGATAAGATGCTACACAGCAATACAAATGAATCAGTGATGGTCACGGAAAACCACATGGAGGAATCTCTCAAACTAATTGTGAGCGAAAGAAGTCAGACACAAAGTACCTACTCTACAGTTCCATATAGATTTTCTCTAAAAGCATGTAAACTTTAACAGGTTAGAAATACGGGTATTAGATCCCCTCTTGGGAAGGTAGAGAGATGACGAGGGCATGAGGGAGCTTCTGGAGTGCTGGCAGTGCTCTTCTTGACCTGTAGGACCTGTAGGGGGTTACATGTGTGTGTTCAGCTTGCAATGATTCATCCCTTGAATACATTTATGTTTTGCGTGTTTGTTTGAATGGGTGTTGTACTTTACATTAAAAAGTTAAAAACTTTTAATGGGCTGGAGGAAGCACAAGCTGGAATCAAGATTGCTGGGAGAATTATCAATAACCTCAGATATGCAGATGACACCACCCTTATGGCAGAAAATGAAGAACTAAAGAGCCTCTTGATGAAAGTGAAAGAGGAGAGTGAAAAAGTTGGCTTAAAGCTCAACATTCAGAAAACTAAGATCATGGCATCTGGTCCCATCACTTCATGGCAAATGGATGGGGAAACAGTGGCAACAGTGGCTGACTTTATTTTTCTGGGTTCCAAAATCACTGCACTTGGTGATTGCAGCCATGAAATTAAAAGACGCTTACCCCTTGGA